ACAAAAAGTAAGCACAGTTAACATACTTGTAGTTTTCACACTCCATTTACAATGAGAAGGTACTTCAGCATATGCTTTTAAATTGCCTGGGAGCTGGTTTCTAAAACTAACTTGCCATACCTATTTCTTTTTCTATGTAAGGTATCCAGTTCCTACAAAAGGGTGAATTATCACCACCCCCAAACACTAGTGTTCTCCAGTTGTGTGGTGAAGGGCCAGTTTTATACTCTTATTAATTCCACAGTGTGTGATACAGTAAAGGAGCTGCCATTCAATTGTAGCACCTGTCCATAACTCCCCAAGGAAATAAGCACTTCATAATTACTTTTTACATATATTTATTATTTGTGTGCGTGCGTGCATGCACACACGAGCATGCCACAGCGTGCAAGTAGGAAGTCAGAGGACAACTTGCAAGAGTCAGTTTTCCTCTACTAAGTGTGTTCTGGAGATCAAACCCAGGTCCTCAAGCTTGGTGGCAAGCATCTTTGCTAACAGCCATCTTGCTGGCCCTCATTAACTGTTTTCTAAATCAATACTCAATACAAATATAACCTGCTAACATGGATGTTCTTCTCAGCTACAGAAGCTATAGACATTGAGTTTTGTGACACAGTACTTCCTGGGAGCTATCTAAAACAAGATTTTCTACAGCCAACCTGTGCACGGCAACTTGACAATCCTTGCTGACATCTATTATTCAACATGAAATAGTAAACATTCCCAAATAACTGGGTTTATTGATTATGTAAGGAACACCAGAAGCACCTGGTGAAAAGTCTTTTCTTTGCATTGCCCTGCACTTTCAGAAACCAAGAGGTGAGTCATAATTCTGTAAGCTATTTAGTAAACCTAGCTATGTTGAGTTAACAACAGATGTGCAAGTTTTGAGACCTCTTTTTAACTTTTATAGCACTAGGTTCAAGTGACGGCTTTTTTCCTCCTCTGTTGATAGTCTCCACTGCGAACAAAGCCTGTCTGCAGACTCATCTGTCACTCAGCTGTCACGGTACAGTAATAATAGGAGCATCCTTTTTGATACATCTTTTCATCTTAGGAAGAACACAGTCAAAGAGTCTTAATGGTTTCAACAGTATTACAAGTGACTAAAGAAGAATGTACTCAAAGAGCTAATGGGTTGGACAGTATTACAAGTGATTCAAGTCAACCTTACATACCGCTTCTGTAGCTGCCTTTGAAGTAGGTATAATCTGACATCTCTTTAAGAAACCCTATAAAAACTGGTCTCCCTTCAGTCAAACTTTGGTCAAAGAGACTCAGTACAATAAGATTCCCACTCCTTCTCGTAGGCAGAGACATCCTAGAACACATTTCATAAGACTTAAGTTTCTATGCCATGCTGTAAGAATCATGGCTAAACGCAGCTTTATAGTGTTTGAAAACTGAGTGTGTGTATATCTAAATGGCCATAAAGAGGTACATATTTGTAAGTTTTCACATGCTCCATTTGACCCTTTCTCAGATAGCTCTTAAAGTTAGGCAGCTAAGAGTTCAAAGAAAGATTTCAAATATACACATTTGGAGGTT